AAACGGGATACAAAGAAGAAGGTGCGTCGTTATGTGGCCATGTGCCGTGCCAGGGAGGAAAGGGCAAAAATTCAGGCTCGAGACACACTATTCAGGGAGAACAACCGTACCCGTTTTAATTCTTCAAATCCCAGAACTGAGTGCAAGGGTCTCAGGGTCAATGATAAAATCTGCATCGACCCACAAGAAATTGCAAGTCATTTCAGAAGTCACTTCAAAGACCTTGCTACATCATCACAATCTTCCTCACTTACAGAGGCTGAGTCATCCCAGATCTTGAATTCTCGTCTTTTCTAAACAGCGAGAACATTCTGGACACTGAAGTTGAACTTGAAGAAATTGAGGGCGCCCTCAGAACTGTAAAACTTGGTAAATCTGGTGGTATCGACTCTCTCGACCCTGAACACATCTATTTTGGTGGGGCAACCCTTAGACTGTGGCTAAAGAAAATTTTCAACAGAATCATCACTCTGGAACGGATCCCGACATCCCTAAATGATAATTCCAGTCCACAAAGGCAAAGGTAAAGACCCATTTCAACCTGGAAGCTACAGAGGAATAACTCTCTCATCCGTTATCTCCAAGTTACTAGAAATCATTCTCCTTCGACGTCTATCGCCGCTTCTTGAAGAGGCAGGTGTACCTGACTTGCCCAGACAGCCTATCAGAAGGGCCTCTCATGTGCAGATGCAATCTTCGCAACGCAAGAAGCACTGCTAACACATGTACGCGATGGTGGCAAACCGTTCCTGTGTCTCTATGACATTGAAAAAGCCTTTGACTCAGTCGAGATGCCTATACTACTCAAACAGCTATACTCTATTGGCATCAATGGGAAACTCTGGCGCCTGCTAAAGCACTGGTACTCTATGCCTCGCTATCAGATCTGAAAATGCACACTGACAATGTTAGACGCGACAAAAAACACGCTCCTTAACTCGCTTTCAAGATTCTACTAACTTTCATGCCACCCAAAGCGTGTGGATCAGCTGCTGCAGCTCGTCGAGTACCACTCGATCATCATGGCCCGTTTATGGGACATTGCCTTAGAGCCGAGGAGTTAAGGCACTCGCATCATGCAGGCGATTTCAAGAACTCTGCCGTCCAAGCTCATGTTTCCAGGGTCAGCGGTGTGCCCAGAAACATCTCATGCCTCGCGAACACGCTGTACACCACAGAGGACTTTCATATGATCTATTATTTCCCTTCTCATAAATGCAGAATCCGCTGTCTCTATTTTTTTCATCATGTAAACGTGTGCCATATAGCAGCTGCATTTGGACCCGTAATTGGCGAGCGGGAGCGAGCTAACTAGTGGTACGAACGGCGCGATTTTTCTATAATAATTATTATAATATATATTTATCTACGACCATACGTCGTCCAACTGCGCATGCTCCAGGATTACGCGCTTCTTTTTATCCGAAAGGATTTCAAAATTCCACACGCTGTCTGCCTGTGATGATGTCGTGCGTATTCATGTGCATAATAGTCCGGGGAAGATGCCCTTCGTCGTCGAAGAGAGTGGATAGGGAACGCGCAAATTTTTACACGCTGCCTAGCTGTCATATCGATGCGAAATATAGCCAGCCAAGCAACTCTCGTCTATTTACTGCCATTCGCTGCGCTCTTCGATACCTGACCGAGGCTGTCTATATCTCCTTCCAATCTTCTTGATTCTAAGGTTCGATGGCTCGTGCAGATAGAGTCATTGTGTGCGCGCTCCCGCTCGCCAAAAATGCCATGCATTCGCCTACTAGTTAAATTGTTGTCACAATGTTGTTTCCTTTAAATGACGTTTAACGGAGTTAGACGAAGTTAACCGAGGCACACAGGGTTAGGCCCACAGGGTTAGGCCCACCACGCCGGGCGGCGGGCGGGGCCGGAAGGGGATTGGACAAGTAGCGTAAAGCGCGCGGAAAAGCAGGAAGTTGCCACGTGCACAACCAGCTGGCCTGAAGCAGCAGAGGCACAACCACCAGCGTTTGTTCTCACACCGTTACCAGCGTCAGTTCTCAACCTATTCCGCCAGTGTTCTTCAGTATGTCACACGACTCAGAGACGGAGCGGGGGGAGGATCCGACAGCACTCACGGCGGATGGGATCAGGGCCCTTGTAAGACAAGAAGTGGCATCTGCTATAAGGGACGCGCTCGCCTCCCCCGCGGGCAGCTCGGCGGTGACGGACCCACCGGCAAGCAGCTCCTCCGGTGAGTGGGGGGGGGAGGAAGTGCGGTTTTGGGGACTAACCGGCGGGGTAAGGAGGGAAGCGGCTGCGCAAAAGGCGCGCGGCGGGCATGTACAGGGTAGGCGCTATTATTGAGCGGGGGTGTGTGCGCGCCCCCGGGCGACAGCTGCTCTACAAAGGCGAGACTATCCAGCCCTCAAGGCCCTGGCGGGCCATCCAGAGCGCATCTTGGAGGCGTAGAGAAGCCTATGGCAAGCAATCCTTCCTCCTCCACCCCTACAGGCACGGTCCCCGCCTCCTTAGCCAGCCTGCCTCTCATATCATCGGGCTCCCCAACACTCCAAGGGTCACTCGCGGTGGGGTTGGCATCCGGGTCCGGTGCAGCGGACACGCGAGTTACACCTTCACTTAACGCTCTCTGACAGCTGTCAAAGGACAAAGGAAAAGCCACCAGCGTTCTCCCTTGCAAGCAGCTTTCCGCCCATCCCCGGAAAGTGGGTCAAAAAGATACAATGTCTCGAGTTCGTGGAAATGAGAGACCTACTTCCGGATAATGTGGCATTGCCTGAGAGACTGGAAGCCCTCCCGGCCTTGGCGAGGAGCACAGACAACATCCCGCAGAGGGAGATTGCATCGGTGAACACATGACCTGTGCCTTTGCGACCTATGTGGCAGTAGTAGCACGGGCCCACCCAGAAAGAGTTTGCGACATGCTCGCATACATGAGGCTGATTGTGCGGGAGGCACAAAAACACGAGGGCTCGCTGGGTTGGCTGACTTATGACTCAGTGTTTCGTCAGAATAACCAAGGAGCGGAGGCCCGCTGGGATAAACTGGACCCCTCCCTATACACATGGCATACATTGTGAGCACAGGAACTCGGCCGTCAGCACCGTGCCGCCACTGCAGGGGAGTGGACCATCCATCTAATCTATGTGCTTTGGCCCCCATAGTCCCTGCAGTCAAGACACAGAGCAGCCGGCGGCCGGACGAAACTTCAGGCGAGCCCCGAAACACCCAGAGACGCCCGAGCTCTTTGGTCTGCCGCTCGTGGAATTGGGGAAAATGCCGGTTCCCAGGAACATGCCAGTATCAACATGTATGCTCCTACTGCATGGAAGACCACAGGGCCAAGGACTGCAAGCAGCACCAACAGGAGCCCTCACGACAGCGAGGAGAAGGGCGGCGCTAGAAGCAACGGGCTGCAAACAGCATTGCATTGTAGATCCACGTAGGTAGTCATTGGTACATAGTTACTTGCCTGGGTGTCTTGCTGTATCCATGAGTATAAAGTCATTACCGTGCGCAAGCTAAGCAGGGGCGTCATGGTTTAGGACTCATACATGTTCTTTCCTCCATTCGCAGGCGCCCAGCAGAACACGGAGCAGCTACATCTGTGTTACTTATGTCAAGGCGGGTACCGCTACATAGAGGACCTATATACTGGAACTAGAAAATAGTGGTACGCAAAGAGCTACATGCCTCCCCAGTCATGCAGCGGGGGTGACCACTCCACTAGAACTGGGGGAGTGGCAACGGCAGCTGAGGGACTTCCCTGACCCTCGACTTGCGGAGTTCCTTACAAGAGGAATCCAGAAGGGCTTCCGCATAGGCTTTGAGAGAGCGAAGTCACACACGTCAGGTAGAAGGAACCTGCGGTCGTCATACGAGCACCCGGAGGTAGTGTCAAGGTATCTCGCCCGGGAAGTGGAGATGGACAGAATGTTCCCTCTGTCTCCAGAGGAGGTGGCCCGACTGCCGGAGCTCCAAATCAGCCCCTTTGGGGTGATACCCAAACGTGGCCAGGAGGGAAAATGGAGGCTAATAGTAGACCTCTCGTCGCCGTCAGGGGGAAGTGTCAACGGAGGGATCTCACCAGACCTCTGCTCAATTGCCTATACATCGGTGGACGTAGCAGTGAAACTCATACAGATACTAGGCCAGGGGGCCCTGCTGGCCAAGATGGACTTAAGGGAGGCCTATCGTTCTGTCCCAGTCCACCCCTTCGACGGCCACTTACTGGCAGTTCAGTGGCAGAGCATCATCTACGTGGATGGGGCCCTCCCTTTCGGCCTAAGGTCTGCCCCAAAACTGTTCTCGGCATTGGCTGACAGCCTCTTATGGATCTTCTTCAAGCAGGGCGTATCACTGGCTATCCATTACCTGGACGATTTCTTATTCCTTGGCCCACCTCAAGAACCAGACTGCCAGCGATCCCTGGACAAGGCACTGCAGTTTGTGCCAGCAACTGGGGGTCAGAATTGCGCCGGAGAAGACCGAAGGGCCAACCACATCTATTATCTTCTTGGGAATCAAGATGGACACAGAGAGTAAGCAGCTACGCCTTCCCTCAAAAAAGCTGGCAGACCTGTCGCGCACACTCCAAACATGGAGAAGACCAGGCCGAGACGAGACACCCAAGCGCTCCGGCAAAAAACGTGACCTACTTTCCTTGATTGGAAAGATTCACCACGCGTCTAGAGTAGTGAGGCCAGGGAGAGCATTTATTCGAGGCTTAATAGACGCCTCCCGGTCGGTCGTGCCTCTCGCCCATCATGTCTCCCTAGGAGCGGAGGCTAGAGCGGACATCGCGTGGTGGAGCTTCTTCATCTCCAAGTGGAATGGAGTCAGTATGATCCCGCAGAAGCAGCCAGCCAAAACAATTGTGTCAGATGCATCGGGCTCCTGGGGTTGCGGGGCAGTGTGGGAGGGCTTATGGTTCCAACTAGCATGGCAATAAGAAGCGCGTAATATTAACGCATGCGCACTAGACGACGACGGTGCGTCGTAAATTCGTCCGTGTATAGCTTCTGCGCTCGATCGGGCCAGCTCTCCTGAGCGCATGCGTTATTCTGCCCAAATCGACACACCCACTTTCCCACTGTCATGCAGCGCACGTATGGGACGCCGTTCGTTTCAAAATTCTAAACTGTCGGTAAGACACACGACGCTCTGTAAAGTTACACGACGCTGTAACAACAACGTCGTGCGTGTATGTCGTCCACGTCCTGACCTTTGACTCCAAACCACGTGGAAGTCTGGAAGATGGCCGAGTCTCAGCCAGGCGACGTGCCTACGAACACCATCGACAATTCTGTGACTAAATCTGTTTTGGTGTGTTTTGGGGAAAGGAAAAGGGAATTTCTTTCACTTATCAAGGCTCGTCGTATCAAGAGCAACTCGAGGCACTTGGCGTTGCAGTGGGGGAGGTCTACTCTGACGTTTTGAAGGGGGAGGAAGAAATCATTTTCCAAGTCAAACGTGAGGAGTGGGATGGGGAGTTCACCGATCTTTGTGGTCCTGTTCCAGACCGAGCAGTGTTATTGGCAGTTGTTGCTGGTCCAAGCGAAGAGGTCCGTAAATAACCACTGTATTAGGCTGGCAGCTATAGCACTAACATGCACTCTTTTACAGTCTGAACGACTAACATCAGTGGCTCTCAAGGCACTGCAAAAAGTGAAACGACCATCTTCTTCTAAGCTTGCAAAGCTGTACCTTTCGAGCAAAGTGCCAGTTAAAGGTAAACGGCTCGCAGATCCTTACAAGAGTGTGTAGTTCTCCCATCCAAGAGAGCGAAAAAAGCTTTCCATATGAAGCCAGTAACACTAGACGTTATTGTTTTGCCTCCTTGGAAGTCACTCATTCTACCCCGAGGAAAGCAGCGGCAGCAGTTGGCGGCCAATGGCCGCGTGAAGAGTGTTCAATTCAAGCGCACTATGTCTCCTCAGCTAGTACGAAATACTATCATTTCCAACTTTGCAAATCTGAGCTTGAAGTCTTGGGAGAGTCTTGATGTTAAGGGAGGTAAACTGGAGAAGAGCGACTGCCAACAACCTGGTGGTGAGATGTGCCAGAGAAGAGGAGCTGTGTATCTGAAGGTGCTTACACAATAGTCTATTAACTAACGCCCAGCCAGCACGCATAGTGCTAATACATGAAGCGGTCAGCCCTGGCCCTCCATGCAGTCTCCGGTGTGTTGCTAACGATTGTAGAAATCCGTAGAGCATGCAATATCTTCAACCAGGTCTCACTTTGCATTATACGATTTTTTGTGACAGGAGACAGCTGAAAATCAACCAAGTGCATCTTCAACTACTGCTCAAGCTGGACCATCTAAAGCAGTAAATAAACAAAGTACAGAACCTTCATCCAACATGCGTTTTTTGATGGGCCAGTAAGTAGCTCAGATTTAGCTGTGATCATGTCACATTATGTTCATGGTTGTAGGATGAAGATGATCCATCTGATGATGATCTACCCCAAGTTTCTCTATCACATGAGGTAAGCAGTAGCTTTGGATTAGGGTGACAACTGCAAATGTCTTTAGAATGAAGTCAGACCTGTTTCATGCAGTTATGTATGAATATTAATTTGCATAATGGAGAAGAGAGAATGTTGAGGAATCTCGACACATACGAGAGGAGCAAGATCGTGCATATGAAGAGAGTGCACGGAGGGATCGTGACCAAGCACAACAAATTAGAGAGGAGGAAGAACAAACACAGGTGATATAAATGGATCTATTGCACCAAACCATTGACTTCCTAGCTCATCACACAGAGAACTGTTATCCTGAAGGCTCAACTGAGAGAGAGATTCCCAAGTACAGATGGATCTGAGGGAAAGTTGGTGTGTATTCGCTTACCAGATGGTGAACGAAAAGAGTGTTGTGTACCACGTGACTCAATAAGCAAGGTATTTACAAATGTTCTTGAACACCATGAGGTTCAGTGCATGATTAACCCTCGCCTGCGCGCATGCATAGCGAGGGTTATTGTACGTTAATCTGTGAGTGCGTGTGTGTGTCTGCCCATCTGTTCATCTGTTTACCATTTTTCTTGGTAACTGCAGCAGCTCTCGAGCTCTATGAGCGGTGAGAGTTATGCACCACTGTCAAGTTTTGATTGTTGTCTGTGGTTAGTATATATACACTCTTAACACAGATACACTATTGCTATCCTCACAGGTCCTGTATGAGTTTGTGTTCTGCAACAGTGAGATTTGTTCACCATTTGGAATATACACCTGTCATCCTCGAGCATTGGTTGATCCAGAGAGAGCCGTTACTGGGCTGGAAATAATGCTTATTGTTGAGGAGGGAGAAGATCTGATTGATCCGTTTACTCTTGTTGACCAGGTATTGTTTGTACCCAGTGTTGTCTAAGAATATTATAGCTTTTGTGTGCCGTGGGAGGCCCTCTCTTACATATTTAGCCATTGTAATGTATGATGATATTAATATTTTGCATGTAGGGTGTTGGCAGAAAGCCAGAGAAGCACTCTGATGTACTGAAAAATGGTCAGCCAATAACAATCCTCAATGTGCATTTGTTACCAAATTTTATGCCACCATGTGCAAGCTTGTGACTAATTAACCCCCCGCGCACATGCGCAGCGAGGGTTACAGTACTTGGTTTGTAAGTGTGGGTGTGTGTGTGTCAGTCTGTCTGTTACTACGTTTTCAGCAACTATGCGCAACGAGACAACAAAACAGCGATTATATCGCTACTCTAGCTTGATTTGGTTTTCATCTAGACTGGCAATGACTGACTTATACTTTCATTTTTTTCCTATTAGCTTCTCAGACCAGAGATGCATTTATTCAGTCTATGTCCTTTCATCGTGGTTGTCCACATGCAGTACGCAGAAGTGAATTGCTGGATGATATTATTACCCTCTATCAAGAAAATCAGCCAAAAGTATTTGAAGAATATCCTTTTCAGATCAAGTTTGTGTCAGAGAAAGCTATCGATGCTGGGGGAGTTTCTCGCGATATGTTCTCAGCATTCTTTGAAGAAATGTATAAGGTGTATTTTGACGGAGCAAACCTGCTCAGTCCAATTGTTCACCCAGGAATGGATGTTTCCGTCATATCCATCCTCGGAGCAATAATTTCGCATGCTTATATTGTTAGGGGAATTCTCCCAACTCGAATAGCCTTTCCTACCTTGGCCCGTTTTTTGTTGGGTCCAAGCATTACAGTTTCATCTGAGGTCCTTGTTGATACATTGATTGATAGCCTTAGTCTCTATGAGGCTGGTATTATGAAGCGAGCAAGTGCAGAAGCCAAAGAAAAGCAACCATCATTTTCGAGTGATTTGATGCCTCTTATTATATCAGTATTTAGTCGCTTTGGAGTGAGGCAGCTGCCGACTCCACTTAAGTTTCAACACACACTCAGCCAAGTTGCCACCTATGAGTTTTTCTCCCCGCTACCCTCTCGCTCTTACATTCGGGTATACCAGAACAGCATCAACCTTTCTGGAGGGAGTTGAGTGTTGATGATCTGTTCACAATCTACTGTGCTCAGACAGTTGAATGCTTGAGAATGCTGTTGGTACAAATGGCAATGAAGAACGCATTTTATGCTATGTTCGTCAGTATGTTGGCAGCATGAACTCTGACATACGTCGTAGTTTCCTAAGATTTGTTACAGGAAGTACAGTCTGCTCATCACCCACAATTGAAATTTCGTTCAATAGCTTGTCCGGGTCTGCTCGAAGACCAATAGTTCATACATGTGCACCATCTTTGCAACTTTCATGGACCTACAACACGTACCTAGAATTTGTTGAGGAAAAGACTCTTTAACCTACCGCCCCGGTTCTCAAGGCTGGGCACCCAGGGTCCTGCCTCTTTCTTTCTGTTTATATGTTATTGTCTGTGTTTTTGTACGCTTGGGTATGTTATTGTCTGTGTTTTGTGTGCTTGGGTGGGGGAGGTTCTTTCTTTTCCTCTGAGCTAGTATGTTATAAACATGTTTTTTTTATGTGTCTCTCCAATCCATATGCGTGGGTCATGGATGCTTTGTGAACTGATCATTTACTCTGTTTCAGTGTGTACATTTTTCATGGATATTTTGTAAAACATCTCTGACTCAATGACCAAATGCATGGTTTAAGAGGTGTTTAAAGTTCGGTATATGAACGAAAGGGTTTGTAGATAAAGTTCAATCCCAAAGTTGGTACTTGGTGCTTGTGGGTCAACAGTGTGGCAAAGTTGGGAGAAAGCATCATCACTGAGCTGAAACCGATTGGAAGGAACGTTCACTGTATGCTCATCCTGTTCCACGGTGTTAAAAAGTCAAGTGCATGTAGACCTGTTCTTTGACGGTTTAGTGACCCTGCAGTAAACATCTGGTGAGGTGACACGTTGTTCTCAGTTTGCACACTATGATGATTCCAGCACTCCCTGAAAACTTTAAGTGAGTGATTGATACGGGGAAAATATACATAATGAAGAGCATAACGATGAACATCATTATCGGGATCCAGATGATTTTGGTGCTCAAGAAAATAAAAGAGACGATAGTAGAGCACAGTAACACATCGATGCATGTCACGCCAAAAACGTTCAATGCGCTGGTTGTGTATTGAACTTCCAGTTATCATACGCTGGGTCCCCCTGTGCTCCAACATACGAACAGCAACGAGGTAATTCTCCCGACCGTGATCTGAACGTACTACGTACTCTTGATGAAAGAAAGAGGTCGTAAACTGTGTGCTAGCTCGATTATTTCCAGAACACTGTAAGTAGAAAACAAGTCTACTGTACCCATCAATCCCACCATGGGTAACTAAGCCCCATCGCACTAATTTGTGGTGGCCATCTGCAAAAAAACATCAGCAATGTTAGTGTAAGTGCCACCGTGCAATAGTGCAACAATAGCACATATGTTGCGTGTGTTGTGCAGCATTGACACATGCACATAAACCACTGCTAATTGATGGGCCAGGTAACAGGCCACTCGGCACACACTGGATGACAGCAGAGGCAGTTTCTGGTAGGCAGTGTTTAGAACAACACTGGGCATGCTCGTCCTCTGAGTAAAAGCCTGGTCCAGGTAAGCCAGTGCTGATTATGCATAATATTTCACTAGTTTGCCATATCTCTCGAACGCAGGGGTTAATGAAAAGCACTGAAGTGCAAACCCTCGGCGAACTACGCATGCGCGGTATATTAGTATGCGTTTACTCGCGGTCTCCCGCTAGTATATAGCTCGCAGAGAGTCTGACATGGGCTAGCTACAGTAGTAGATTAGCATGTGAGAGTCGATACACGCCCTTCATTGTGACTTCTTGTGCCTTCAAAATAAACAGAGCAAGCAGACCCGGTCCTGTGCTAAATATAAGCGCATGCGCATTTTCCGCAGCGATAATGAAAAGCACTAAAAGTGCAAAACCTCGGCGAACTGGGGATGCGCGGTACCGCTAATTGATGGCTAGGCTGCTATTAGTATGCGTTTACTCGTGGTCTCCCGCTAGTAGCTCGCAGAGAGTCTGACACGGGCTAGCTAGAGTAGTAGATAGTATGCGAGAGTCGATACACGCCCTTCGTTGTGACTTCTTGTGCCTTCAAGATACAGAGAGCAAGCGGACCTGGTCGAGGTTATAAGCGCATGCGCATTTTCCGCAGCGATAAAAACGGCCGACTACGCATTAGCCGTACAATGGTGGAAGCGCTCTAGCTCTGCAACGGAGCATTTTCAGAGAAAACCCCACATATTTTCTGACCTTCGTCGCTCGTTGGGTAGATGGTATCGTTTCTGGGACGAACACACTTTCGAGAGGTGAGATGTAGAGTAACAGACAGACACACGGACAGACCCAAGTACTGTAACCCTCGCTGCGCATGCGCGCCGAGGGTTAATAAGGGAAAGTAAAATACCTGAGGGATTCAAATCCACGACCAGTTAAATTTCTAAGCAATGGCACTATTACTGTAGTTTTGGGGAAAGTCAAGTGCACAGGTTAAATGAAGGGTACACGAATAAGGGGCTGTGACATGCAAACATGAGGATGGAGGCACATACCGATATGCCACAGAGAGTTAGGGCCTGCAACGGAGTATGGGCGCCGACTAGCTGTTATCCCCCTCCACCTCAATGCTGTATTGATTGGATCAGTAATGCGGATTGCAGACAGTATTCTGGATCTGGACACATGATACCCCGCACAGTGGATTGGAGCAATTACGAGAGACTCTCCAATTGTTGGGAATTCTTCTCTGACTTGACTAACAAAGCTGCGTAGCTCATTGTCATCCATAGACCTCAAAATATCCGAATCATTAATGCCCAACTCCCTTCGCCTCCTAACCCGAGACACTCCTAATAGTTGTGCAATCTGAGTCCAAGAGAAGTTCAGCGAACGAAGGTGAAGTAATTACTCCTGGGAAACTACCGCCCAGGGACGTCCCCGGCCATCGATAATTCTAGGAACACGATACCCAGCTTCAGGGGCCGCACTTACGTTGTTTTGAACAGCCTCAATCTCAACTTGCCAGAGGCGCTGGAGACCTTGGCAACGATTTCTTACAACATGTATGGAGCTTTGAAGCTCTCGTAGATCGTCATGGCCATCTAGGGATGAGATATAGCGGAAAGAGCTCTAATTGCTATTTCCATTCTCTCTAACACATATTCGGCGAATTCAGGAGACGAAGTGCGATATCTCGCATTTGCTATTTCGGATCAACTCTATTTCAACAAACAAATCCTCCCAACCCCACAGAGAGACGCTACTTTCTTGGCTGTCCTCCTCCAACATCCTATATAGGCAGCTGATAGCAAACACGAAGTTTCGTTCCTAGATCCGCACGTGACTTGTCCTAGGAACGCGACCGACCGGTTGCATGCTAGAACACGCACAACTCACGTGAAGGTTTACACAGCGTTGTGTAACTGACGTGTAGTTTTACACAGCGTCGTGTAACTGTTTAGACAGCGTCGTGTGTCTTACACGACAGTTTAAACGAAAGGCGTGCCATACGCACGCGCGATATGGCTATCTCTCTCCGGGTCGTTTTACCAGACCTACGCACAGCCTCTGTGGCTGCCTAACAGCCTGCTGAGACATTTATGACATGTCTCACGAAATCCGGACCTTTTTGCTTTAAATTAATACTGAAAGGGTAAATGAAAGGAACATCAAAGCTCCAAAACCGACACATCCAAGTGCCGACCGACCACTTCTGAGGATGCGTGAGTGGTTTTTAATGAGATAATGCCGCCATGCCGCCCGCCTACCGGGTCAAAGTTCAAAATTGTGCGAGTTTTGTTGACGTTTCTAGATGTACAACATTTTGTGACCGAAAGGGATATAGAAAATCGGACCACTATGTTAGCTCGCTCCAGCTCACCAATTAAAAATCCTGTAAAGATTAGGGACGGTGTAAAAAGAAAACGACACAAAATAGGGATGGCATATAAGTCATAGTTTCCATACATGTACATTGTGAGGCATAGGGACACTCCCCGTGCCAAGGATACAATCCCTATATTGTTGCCTAGGTGAAGTATATGCCTAGCGAGTTCGTACTATAAGAACAACGATACTCATTGATACACATTGGGTCCACTACTGCACGAGTATACTATATAGTCAACTTGGGGTGCTGCTGCTGCCCTCTTTGAATAATGCAACACAAAATGCAAACCCGCTTGAAAGAGCTACTTTTACGGATGTATATACACACCAGGCAACAATATAGGGATTGTGTCGTAAGATAGGGGAGTCTCCCTATGCCTCACAATGTACAGTTATGGAAGCTATGACTAATATGCCATCCCTATATTGTCTCCTTTTCTTTTTATACCCTCCCTATATTCCTTAAAATCCGCAGGATTTTTAATTAACTTGTCTTCACCCATTTTTATATACTACTATGTATTATCTCTGTGAAAGGGGGCAAGCCCCCTATAAAAATTTAATAATAGAGAAAAATACCTGTTGTCGTCATGGAAATGATGTAATGCATATGTTTCATCTCCTTGTGTGCTGCCGTTAAAAAGTTTGAGGAGTGAAGATGTAAATGTCTGAGGCTATTTGTTGTTGTTCAAATAGTATTTGGTTCTCACGGAAACGATGTCATACGCATTCGTACCAAGTTTCATCTGCATGTGTTCTTTAGACCCAGCCCCATGCAAGTACTTTTTGAACTCTACCACCTTGTTAAATGTCTTATAGAATAACAGCTTTACTTTGCTATTTAGCCCCTCTTCAAACTTTCTAATCTCCCTCCCATCACGGACTCTAACGCAGCTGCCTGAGTCTTATTCGCTTCCCATACCTCACTCCCACTCTAAAGTTTGCCTAACCACTACCAGCAACAACAACCTGCGAGCACACAAATTAATATCCATATTTCTAATTACTTCCTTCCACCATTGCCAACACATTCTTGATATGCACATCCCATGATGCACCAGTATTAAATCAACACACAAGTATGTGTATTTAGATACTCTAGGCAAAACATACTCCCCCCCATTTCCAAGCACCATCCACTGACTCCCTAGCGAACACCATCACTGCACTCTTACTCACTTTAGCCTTTAGCCTCCATTTTCGATAGTAGGTATGCACCACATCTATAAGCATCTGTAACTGATCACTAACACCAACGAAGTCATCTCTGCAAACAAAAGGCCTCCAAGTGATCCCAATCTAAGCTTCCTCTACCGCCCTCAACAGCCCATTGATAATACGCAAAACAAAATTGGAAATAAGTTACATCCCTGAGCTACCCCCTGTTCCACATCAAATGCCTCTGACCGTTCCCGATCCAACAATACAACACTCTTTGAATACTCGTACATCTTCTTTATGACCCTCCACACTCCCAAATTCCCACCACTTAAACCACAGGCCGTTACGCCACACGCTATCGTATGCCTTCTGCACATCTAGAAATAATCTCCTTCCCCTCCTTTAGTCTACCCTGCACGAGTTCAGTCAGCGTATAAATACAACCCCTTCCAAACCTAAAACCAGCCTGCCGCTTATGCAATGCTTTGCCCTCGTCCAGATGCTTCACTGCTCAATACCTAACAAAAGACCTTCCCAACCACAGCACCACAGCAAGTGTGAGAAGTGAATAAGTAATTTTAAAGAAAGTGATTGAGGATATTTGTTGTTGTGGTCATCATGGAAACAGTGTATTACGCATGTGTACAAAGTTTCACCTCCATGCATGCTACAGTTAGCAAGTTTGAGGAGTGAAGAAGTAATTTGAAAGAAGTCTAGCTTCCGCCGTGCACGCAGATTCGTAGGAAGTCTGTAGCTTCGTGTGCAGTCAGTAGAGCGCGCGCACGAGCGGCTTCAGTCGGACTGTTTACGCATCGGCTGGGGCAAAACATGTGCATGCACATTCCTAGTTTTTAAGAATCACCCACTACAGGTGCGGTTGACCGCGATGTACATGTGCTCGTACATGGTTTAAGAATATTCCTGAGGCCATATGTTGTTGTTCCAACAAGTGGTTGTCATGGAAATGATGTTAGACGCGTGCGTACCAAGTTTCATCTCAATGCCTTAGCGCAAGTACTTATTAAAAAAAGTGCCTGAGGCGATTTGTTGTTGTGGTCGTCATGGAAATGATGTAAAACACATGCGCACCAAGTTTCACCTCCACGCGTGCTACAGTTAGAAAGTTAGAGTGAAGAAGTAGTTTTAATTGCCTGAGGCTTTATCAAACAATATGCGGTCGTCATGGAAATGATATAATAGGCATGCGTACCAAGTTTCATCTCTATGAGTGCTACCACTAGAAAGTTTAAAGAGTAAAGAAGTAAAAAGGTGCCTTATTTAGGCTCTTTGATGTTGTTTATAAACATGTACTGTTGTGATTTTAATGTTGGTGATTGACAAAGTTTCATTCACATAGCTCTTACCATTTGTGAGTTATACCGACACATGTGATCTCATTATAATGTTTGCCTGGGTTATGATGTTTACAAACAAATACGACCAGTCTCTTCGGGTGACGGATATCTATATCGTTCATTGTTTCAAAATTTCATTACTATAAGTATGACCAGTCTCTTCGGGTGACGGATATATACATTCTTACAAAATTTCATTACTTTGTGTTGTTTCGTTTCTTAGTTACATCTGAAGAAGGAGGAGGAGATGAACAAAACTCCCTATCATAGCCCAACAAGTAAATTAAACATTCTGCGAATTTAATAAAAGAGGCATATAGGGATGGTATAAAAAGAAAGGGATACAAGATAGGGATGGGATTCATGAAGCATGGTTAATGAAGAGATTTGAGTACGCTGACACCCCCAGCCCCATCACACAATCCCTATAATTATTGTTCCCTGGTGTGCTACTCCTATAGGTGCTAAATGTTACTAAAGCAAGCATTCTTTCACCGTGTCCCTGTTGTTTTTAGTAAAATTTATACTGCCACATTTAAACTCCACTTGGACTCTATAAGGGTGTTGGTTACTCAGTAGTGTATTGTAAGTTCTGATGGTGAATGTTTAATCCTTCACCTTGGCAACAATATAGGGATTGTATGATGGGGTTGGGGGTGTCAGCGTACTCAAATCTGTTCATTAACCATGCTTCATGTATCCCATCCCTATCTTGTCTCCCTTTCTTTTTATACCATCCCTATATGCCTCTTTTTTAAATTAGCAGGATTATAAATTTACTTGTCTCCACTCATTTTTATATACTACTACGTATAACCTGGAAGGGGGCAAGCACCTATAAAATTAATAAAATACCTGCTGTCGTCATGGAATGATATGAATACCATGTTTCATTTCCATGTGTTTTGCCGTTAGCAAGTTTGAGGAGTGAGGAAAGAAAAGTGCCTGAAGCTATTTGTTGTTTTGGTCGTCGTGAAAACGATGTAATACACATGCGCACCAAGTTTCCCCTCCATGCGTGCAAGTTTGAGGAGTGAAGAAGTATTTTAAGAAAGTGCCTTGGGCTATTTGTTGTTGTGGTCGTCATGGAAAGGATGTTACACACATGCATACCAAGCTCCATCTCCATGCGTGGTACCGTTAGCGAGTTCGAGGAGTGAAGAAGTAATTTTAAAGAAAAGTGACTTAGGCAATTTGCTGTTGTGGTCGTCATGGTAACGATGCAATACACATGTAACAATAGACCATGTGATGCCAAGAGAAAAAAGATGTGGAGCTCCGGACAGCTGTTTCGGGCTTGTTGGCCCTCATCAGCAAAGCATACCGCAACTTCTCTCTCTGGCATCACGAGTTTATAAAGGCAAAGTTGAGCGCAGCACTTGTGGTTTTGAACTAATGAGATTCATCCCCACAAGGCTTTGCTCAGGCGCAGCGCTTGTGGTTCTGAACTAATGAGATTCATCCCCACAAGGCGTTGCCAGTACCGAGCCAAAACCAGAATTCAGAATGCTGACATGTGGATTGGGCTGCAGCAATGAAGCCAGCAAGCACCCATACCCTGCCAGCGCATACACATGTAACAATGTACACCAAGTTTCACCTCCATGCCTGCTACAGTTAGCAAGTTTGATCTACGGCATCCATACTGGCAATAAAATGAAAATTTTGCTTGCTGTGCTGTTGCAATGTCACGGGTAAAGTTTGTCATTGCAGAAGTAACAAGCTAGAGAAAGCAGAGCGCACAGAAACCAGCAGCTTCTTCCACGTGTGCGTGCATGCGCAATCGCAAGAGACAGGGACATGTCGCATGCAGTATTTACGCGTGCATATTGCTGCTAGGCCACGCCCACTTCGGTC